GACCAAAGCTGCTAAAGGCCAAGAGAACCCCGCAGTGGCACTGTCTCTTATACACATCTAGATGTGTATAAGAGACAGGTCGTGATTCGCAGAATACACTCTAGGAGACAACAAACTGTACTCTTTTCTGAAGAGTATACTGGATTCTTTAACAATAACTTGCACATAAGCCATATTGCACACAGGACCAACGGCTTAAATACAGTATCTCATTCGAAAGAAGCTGCACTACTGTAACTTCTGCCCTCCAATCAAAACACAGAGAGCAGCGATGGAATTGAACCAGGGATCAAGAGATCTTGACCGTTTAGGCCACACACAGTGGCCACCACTACTTTAGCCGATTTAGCTAAGCTGCTTTCTTTTCCTTCTTGATTTAGATGTGAAGTTTGTTGTAAAGAATTTGCCAAGTACAGGTGTCCTCGATGCTCCAAACAGACTTGCAGGTACAGTAAAGGGGTAACATAAGAACCCTTCTGCTCAGTGTATCTACTGTAGGAGTCTAGAAGTGGTGGGGTGGGGGGGGGGAGGCCCTCAATGATTAAGTGAGGGGGAACTACTGGAGCTCACAAAATAAGGTGATTGTTACTACTTGACATAATTTCAATCAAAGTGGGGGAAGGGGTGTGGGTTACTGAGAGAGGGCGCAAGCTTGTTTTTTCCTAGCTATGCCACTGTGAAACCCTGTCTCTTATACACATCTAGATGTGTATAAGAGACAGTACCAGTACATTTTGTATTTTGACTAGAATGCAATCTGATTCTGTATAGTGAGTAGCAGGCAAATACAAACTTTTCCTACTAGCAGGCCCTAGTCAGTGGCGTAGGGGTCTTGAAATGGAGGGAGCTGATAGGAGTGGGAAGATGGGAGATCGGTGATTAGGTGAGGGGACAACTCGCAAAATAAAGTGATTTTGACGTGATTCTTAACTTAAGCATGATTTGTGGACGAGGGCGCGACTAAGGGCTAGGCGAGTATTTTTTTTTCAGGGGGTGGGGGAAAATCCTAAATATGCCAATACTGTACCTAGCATACCCTGCAATTTACCCTACGGTCCGCCACTGTTCACAACAGTAATTGGGTCGGCTCATGAATTCTGTGAACTATTTATCACGCTCAGTGCACGCCATACACAATTTTATTTGCGACTTTTATTCTATTGGTGGCGCTATCCAGAATAAAAATACAAACATTTCGTTTTCACACATGCTGCTGCCATCGTAGTGAGTGGCTTGTTTAATTGAAGACGGGAGTTACTAGTATTAATGAAATGGATATCAAGGATAAAAGGTTCATGCTCAGTTATGTCTTAAGCATATAGAATTATATAATGTAAACTATTCATACTCTGCTGGGCCAGGTCTAGGCCTAGTTTGGCTCTTCCTCTACCTAGGCCTAGGCTAGCCTTATTAGTTAGAGTAGAACGTAGCCTATCCTAAGTAAGGCCTCTCAGCCCTTGCCCGGAGAGTCCTGCAGCCTACCCAGGCTCTGTCCTGCTAGACTGTAAAGCAAGGCCTGCGCGGGGAATATGGCCTAGACAAATCCATCATTTCAGAAAATGAGGTCTGATTTTCGCATCTATTGTTCCGATACTTAGGATTAGGAGACAATATTATAACTGTCTCTTATACACATCTAGATGTGTATAAGAGACAGATATAACACATCGTTGACTGGCAAAGTTATAGTTTACCATATGATGTCATTGTTCACAGCCAGTGCCGGACCGTCAAGGCAAGCAAGTTATGCAGTGCATACCCTGGCTAAAACAAATTAAAAAATATATAGTAGAACAGTTTCTCCGTTTTATTTAGCATATCTTAGTCAGAATCTTCTATATAGACCTTAATTTTTCGAGTGGATGATACAGTTCATTGTAATAGCAAAGTTTTTCAATGTTTGGCCTAATTTGGTATCTAGGATAATCACAGTCGGGCCTATCGCTGGATCGCATGGAACACTTAGCTGCAGCTACTTAGAAGTTCCGCATGGCTGGTTTTTAATCTCAGCCAATCACGTATTCAGTGAGTCAAATAGGCGTCAGAGCATACCCTGCATTGCTTAAATTTACTATTGTGACAACCGTGTGATGGCGACAGAATAGCCAATTTAACACTGGAATTTAATCTGTGCTTTCAAGTGTATGTGCGCATGCTCTTTAATCGGGACCTCCACTGCCGATCGGGTATTCTATCGACAGGCTTAATCTCAATGTCATATTAAATTTTAAATACTTAATTTGTATACATATGACCGGTATATAAGAAACTTATGATTATTTGAATTGAAATGTGTTAACATACAGGAATATAGGAATTCTTTGAAGCAGATACTAACAACCATGCCGGTATTAAAAATAACATACCAGTACATTTTGTATTTTGACTAGAATGCAATCTGATTCTGTATAGTGAGTAGCAGGCTAATACAAACTTTTCCTACTAGCAAGCCCTAGCATCAGTGGCGTAGGGGTCTTGAAATGGAGGGAGCTGATAGGATCATGGGAAAATGGGGGATCAGTGATTAGGTGAGGGGACAACTCGCAAAATAACTGAGTGATTTTGACGTGATTCCTAACTTAAGCATGATTTGTGGACGGGGGGGGGGGGGGGCGCGCCACATCGGCTAGGCGAGTTTTTTTTTTTCAGGGTTTGGGGGAAAATCCTAGATATGCCAATACTGTACCTAGCATACCCTGCAATTTACCCTGCGGTCCGCCGCTGTTCACAACAGTAATTGGGTCGGCTCAATGAATTCTGTGAACTATATTTTTATCGCGCTCAGTGCACGCCATACACAATTTTATTTGCGACTTTTATTCTATTGGTGGCGCTATCCAGAATGAAAATACAAACATTTCGTTTTCCACACATGCTGCTGCCGTCGTAGTGAGTGGCTTGTTTAATTGAAGACGGGAGTTACTAGTATTAATGAAATGGATATCAAGGATAAAAGGTTCATGCTCAGTTATGTCTTAAGCATATAGAATTATATAATGTAAACTATTCATACTCTGCTGGGCCAGGTCTAGGCCTAGTTTGGCTCTTCCTCTACCTAGGCCTAGGCTAGCCTTATTAGTTAGAGTAGAACGTAGCCTATCCTAAGTAAGGCCTCTCAGCCCTTGCCCGGAGAGTCCTGCAGCCTACCCAGGCTCTGTCCTGCTAGACTGTAAAGCAAGGCCTGCGCGGGGAATATGGCCTAGACAAATCCATCATTTCAGAAAATGAGGTCTGATTTTCGCATCTATTGTTCCGATACTTAGGATTAGGAGACAATATTATAATTTATAAATAATCTCTTACAGTAATTGATTATAAAACCATCATGGGGATGGATAGTTGCAATTCTGCGCAACTATTTTTCTACTGATTTTCCACGCAAATTTGATGTCATTGGCTCAATTCCAACACTTTACGGTCTAAAGTACTACTAGGCCTAGGCTTAGCTATAATATTAAAACAGTGACATGAGACCCCTACAAAGACACTAACTGACAAATTATAACTAAAATATAATATTAATTAAAAAATCCAAGCAGGTGATCAGTCTTGGATTGGATTTACTCAATGTAAACACCAAATATAACCACAAAAATCCTAAGACTTTATTTTCATTTGGTCGTGATTCGCAGAATACACTCTAGGAGACAACAAACTGTACTCTTTTCTGAAGAGTATACTGGATTCTTTAACAATAACTTGCACATAAGCCATATTGCACACAGGACCAACGGCTTAAATACAGTATCTCATTCGAAAGAAGCTGCACTACTGTAACTTCTGCCCTCCAATCAAAACACAGAGAGCAGCGATGGAATTGAACCAGGGATCAAGAGATCTTGACCGTTTAGGCCACACACAGTGGCCACCACTACTTTAGCCGATTTAGCTAAGCTGCTTTCTTTTCCTTCTTGATTTAGATGTGAAGTTTGTTGTAAAGAATTCGCCAAGTACAGGTGTCCTCGATGCTCCAAACAGACTTGCAGGTACAGTAAAGGGGTAACATAAGAACCCTTCTGCTCAGTGTATCTAGGAGTCTAGAAGTGGTGGGGGGGGGGAGGCCCTCAATGATTAAGTGAGGGGGTACTACTGGAGCTCACAAAATAAGGTGATTGTTACTACTTGACATAATTTCAATTGAAGTGGGGTGGGGGGGGGTGGGTGACTGAGAGAAGGTGCAAGCTTGTTTTTTCCTAGCTATGCCACTGTGAAACCTGTGTACTGAACTATTGCTATTTATTTATTAATGTTAGTGTAAAATGTGTGAAGGAACATAAGGCAACAACAGCTTGTAATGGACAGAGGGACAAGTCAGCGTATGTGCCCATCAAAAAATACACAGAAAATCACCTCCTTAGTGGTAATGTAACTTTTGATTTTATTTAACTTTACATTTTGAATAGCAAATGACAATTCAGGTCTCCCTCCAATTAAAGATTTTTGGGACCAGTGTTCCAGTGGCCTAACACAAGGCCCTGTTATTTTCTGAGACTGGGGGAACTTTCCGATCCCGGTTGCTAAAATCTTTTTATTTGTTTCACAAGTTTTACGAACCCTAGGTGCCCCCTAATCAGTCGATGTCACAGACCATTATTCTGTTGTATACTGTATACTACACAGATGGGTCAGGGAGCTAGATCGAGGACCTTATGGGTAGAGACTCGGGGCCCCAGGAGTTGGGGCCCCGTTCGGATTACCGCACAAGCTCTTAGGGGTTATGCCACTGCGGGGTTCTCTTGGCCTTTAGCAGCTTTGGTCTATGATTAGAATAATAAAGCTTTGGTCTATGATTAGAATAAAGAATTGGAGGGTCTTTAATTATAGGGAGATCTACAGTGTATTAAACAGTCATATTAAGCAGTCATGTTGAGATTCAATGTTGGAATTCTATTTGATAATCTATATTTTATATATATATACGTATATATATATAAAATATATAATAAAAACAAAGGTTACAATGGATAGACTACAAGGGTTTAAGCTATTATTTTTCTTAATAAACAATAAAATAATAATAATTTTCTGAACTTGCTCTTCAATACTTTATTTCAGATTATCAGTTCCTTGAGGATGTCGACCGAGCAACAGACATTGCCACTAGGATTGCGAAGAAATTCCCAAACAGGAATCATAACAACGTAATATTCAATACAGGCCTTTAAAAACAATACTATACTACCATAGTTTCTCAAGTATAAGCCCACTTTGTATAGAACACTTGCATACACCAAATTTTATATACAAGCCTTTTTCAGGCGAAAGTCCAGGGTATGATTTGAGTGAGTAGTTCAGCAGCCTTATTGCCTTCATGTTGGCCATCCCTAAAAATGATTGGACATGCTGTCAAGTTTAAAAAAGGTCATCAACTTTCTTGTGAAAAGGGGATTCCACTGTATAAGCCCAACTTTCAAAATCGGCCCAATTTTGTGTTTAAAGGGGGTGGGCTTATGATATTCAACTATTTGTAGATTTATTGTATGCCATTAACCCTTAAAGTACATTTCCTCTATGTATGTAATGTAAAAAGAATAAATTGTAACTAGTATTGCAAATCTTTTTTTTTATTTAGAAAAAGTTTTTGAAGAGGACAGCCAATCAAAAAGGAGTACGTCTACTTTTTCTTCCAAATGTTTTCACTAAACACAAGCAAAATACATCTCGAACTTTCAAAGAAAGGTAAGAAACATTCATTTGAATCAAATACCAAAATGGCTTAAATGAAAAATTGACTTTACACTGTGTTTAACCTTGTATGTTTAACATTTGTTTTTTTTTATCTTCCCTTCAGTCCAAGTACCATATTCTGGTGTGTAAAATGGATATTTCCACAATCGGAATATGCTGAGATCTTTGAAAAAAAGTAAGATTTATATTATATTAATCCTGCCCCCCCCCCCTTCCTCTTGGGCAAAAAAACATTTCCAAAAAAAATAAATAAATAAATAAAATCTAGACCTACCTTTTCAGGACGTGTGAGCTGAAATTTATTTGTTACAATAGGAAAGTTAGAAGTCGGAAAAGCTCATTTCTTACCAATTTTTTTTATGTATGTATACACACATAATATTCCTATTTACTGTAATAAGAATGAGAAAACTTTAGCTTACTGTTTTCAAGGAGGGATGAAACCTTGAATTTTGAAGAACCTAAAAGTCATTAAAAAAACACTTCAGAAGCTGGGAAAGCTCATTTCCTGCCATCTAGGAATCAAAATTTCTCCAGAGGACCCCACCCTTTTTTTTGGGGTGGGGGTTCAGGAACATTTTCACCCCTCCTAAATTTGAACCCAGATCCGCCCCTGCATTATGTTTGTTCTTACATGTGGGAGCGATGGGCGTTTTGGAGTTTACCTTGAGGTCGGAGGTTGAAACTTTAGGTGTGAATTTTGCCTGTGTTCTTGGGCAAGGTACTTTACCTACATTTGACTTTCTCCACTAAGGATTATAAGTGAATACCTAGTAGGCAGTGGTGTAATGATGGTGCCGGAGGCCCTGTGGCTTTCTGAGAGTCGCTGCGTTTTGGGTCCTGGTCTTCGTCTATTCCATTGTGGGATTTTTTAGATGTGCTCGTTTTATAATTATGTTTGTCATTTGCATTCTAATTGTTTTTAACAACAAAATCAATGATATGAGTGGCGAATCCAGGAATGTTTAATAGGGCCCAGGGGGAGACTTTCACTGAGAAAGGGTCAATACAACCTCAGCCCCGTCATGGTTGGGGCTGAGGCACGAAAATTTATGATTATAGCACCTCTAAATGGCCAGAAATGGCACTCACAGACTTTTAATTAAAAAATTTATGGATCCTCCTTTAATTTGCCACTGAATATACCTAGCCTTAATATAATACACAGTTGATGTCAGAAACACATTATGCTATAATGTATCAAGAAAACCCTTTTGGGTCAGGGTGATAGATCGAGGACCACGTGGTTAAGGGCCCCTAAAATTAGGGGCCCTGCAGACCGCCGCACGAGAGTGCATAGGTGTTACGCCACTGCCTGTAGGATGATGTGGCACTGACCCTGGTATTCTTAAAACGAACTTTAGTCGTAGTTCGAGCTAAAACTTTAAAATTACGTAATTACGTATTCTTAAAATGAACTTCGACTAGCACTACGACTAAATGATGTGAACCTCGACTAAAATGATACCTCCGCAGGCCGATTTTTTTAGTCAGCCTTGGGTCAGGCTAAATCGCCGACTTGAAATATTTACCCCACTAAAAACGTGTTTTTTGTAACTCACGTGTGAGTATAAAAGTGAGACGAATAAAAAAGATTGTATACAGGTTTGATATATCTTCTGTGTGTTAAACAAAAGAGACATCATAGTATAGTGAAAAACAGGGCCCCCGTGACCATTTTCCGGGGACCAAGGTTTCTCTGCTGATTCGGCATCACTAGGGTATAAATAAAAAAATGAGCGGGGGTGAGCCTCCTGAAAAAGGGCGGAAAGGGCGGAACATGTTTTTTGGCGGCCATTTTTAAAATGGCCGCCAAAATCAAGAGAATGGCTCATAACTTTACTTCTACTCCATGAAAAAGGGTAAATATGGTGTCTAACTATATGTTATTAGGGTCACTAAATTCAATTAGACATGTTTCAAAAACCTAGGATGGCAGCCATTTTGAAATTCAAGATGGCTGCCATAGTAATCATTGAAAATCAAATATTCCAGTATAATTCCACTCCCTGTCGTTGAAAAATGGTAACTGTCTCTTATACACATCTAGATGTGTATAAGAGACAGTCTCTGAGTCCAATAAGAATAACTTCTATAAGCTAGGATGGCAGCCATTTTGAAATCCAAGATGGCCACCACATAAATTGTCAAAAATCAAATATTTTGGTATATAATTGCATTTCTTCTCGCTCAAAAATGTTAAATTTGGGGTCTAATCATATGTTACTCACATCTTTGAGTCCAATGAACATAGTTTCAAAAACCAAGCATGTCAGCCATTTTGAAATTCAAGATGGCTGCAGTAATAATCGTTGAATATCAAATATTCCAGTATATTTCTACTTCTTATCATTGAAAACAGCCATTTTGAAATTCAAGATGGCTGCCATAATAATCTTTAAAAATCAAACATTCCAGTATAATTCCATTTCCTGTCGTTGAAAAGTGGTAAATTTGATGTCTACTCCTATGTAATTAGGCTCTCTGAGTCCAATAAGAATAACTTCCATAAGCTAGGATGGCAGCCATTTTGAAATCCAAGATGGCCACCACATACATCGTCAAAAATCAAATATTTTGGTATATAATTGCACTTCACCTTGATAAATAAAATGTTAAATGGGTGTCCAATCATGTATGTTTCTTAATAGAAATGGTAAATTTGGTGTCTAATGACTTGTTATGGGCAATCTGAGTCCAAATAACGTAGTTTTAAAAGGATGACAACTATACGTTTTTCCAATATGCCTGCCATTATTATGTACACATTTTACCTTACAAAATGCAAAAATAATAAATCTTTAGAAATACTACCACTTATATTATACAATAAAACATAAGCATTTGTTTGATGAACCTGTCTGTCTGTCTGTCTGGAATAAATCACAATTAGGTTCATACGTCATCATGCTCGGACGATTCATCGCTTGTTTCATCATCACTCTCATCGCTACTGTCACTATCGTTTCGTTCTGGAACTTTAATATCACTGGGTAGGTTTGGCTCAGTACTTCTTTCGGCATAGCACTTTCCATTAATCAGTTTCCACCCACTTTTTGTTGGTGATTGATTGATTCTTAAGGAGAAGTTTAATTGATTCTATGATAGATAGTTGGCTCTTTTAATATGCTGAAGTAGTGAATATTTGTCTGGTGCCAATCTTACAAGTGACTTTCTCTTTTTGTAGGACTTCCACTTGGTCGGCCTTGCCTCTGTTGTGTTTTTGCTTTTGTTGTCGTTGTATATAAACTTTAAGACAAACTTAAGTGTTTTTCAAATGTTGAATTTGTCACAGCAATAGATTCTCTACAGGATTTCAACAGATTTTCTTCTTTGCTTTTTCAAACATTATTGAAAATCTTTGCCTTTTCCATGTCCAAAGTATGCAGAATTACTGTCACAGCCGGTCAAAACATGAAGTTGAATTATGATTTCTGCCATTTAATGCCTACACATATCCTTACAATTGACAAACACAGTTTCCTCTGACTTTCTATAGATCATTAGTTCTCCTGGCAACTTGTGTGCAACGTATGCAGCCGGAACATACACATCTGTATCCTCCGAGTCTATTACTACTGGTTTAGTAACTTTGCAGCTTGTTCTGAGATAGTAGTAAATAGTCAGCATCGATTTATCTGCTTCTGCCTGACTACAATTAAATTCTGGTATCTCACTATTATCTGCTAATCAACACAATTTTCTAAAGAGTACAACACTCAAATTCCTTCAACTTTATACTTCTTCTTGTTGGGGTTTCTTTAATAAATTCTTGTATTCTTGAATTGTTGTAATCGCTCTTCGGGATTTTGTTAAACTCTTTACTTGATAAAAACTGGTCCTGTAACTTCATGTGTGTATTAAGTATTTTCTGCCCATTTGATCGTCATTCTCTTTCTTCATATTTGATCGACTCTTCTTTACTGTATGGGTCATTAACACATATAATGGCTGATGCATTGTGATGTCTTTTAAATATAATATCTGTGCATTTGTTGACATAATTCCCCCGAGTAAACAAGGAACCATCTTCATTAAGCCTTTGTTCTTTATTAGGGACTGCCTTTCTGATGACCATGCCCATATCGATAATAGCAGTGTATTCTGCAGAATTGGTTTTTGTATCCATACAGTGGACAAGTTTTGATTTCTGGCATTTTCTAAATGTACCATTAGCATTGAATATGGCCAGAGATTTAGAGGTTACTCTCACCAAAGTTACAACTTTTAATCGACAAGAGGAATTATATACCAAATATTTTATTTTTGACGATTTTTGTGGCAGCCATCTTGAATTTCAAAATGGCTGACATTCTAGCTTTTTGAAACTATGCTCATTAGACTATTGAGCTCAATAACATATATGATTAAACACCAAATTTAACATTTTTTATAGAGGAGAAGTGCAATTATATACTAAAATATTTGATTTTCGACGATTTTTGTGGCGGCCATCTTGAATTTTAAAATGGCTGCCATAGCTTATTGAAACTGCTTATTGGACTTGCAGAGCCCAATAACATATGAGAATACATCAAATTTACTATTTTTCAACGATAAGAAGTAGAAATATACTGTAATATTTGATATTCAACGATTATTACTGCAGCCATCTTGAATTTCAAAATGGCTGACATGCTTGGTTTTTGAAACTATGTTCATTGGACTCAAAGATGTGAGTAACATATGATTAGACCCCAAATTTAGATGTGTATAAGAGACAGAAATTTGGTGTCTAATGACTTGTTATG